TCTGCAGCACGGCCAGGCTTGTTGCGGATCAAGAGGCCTTGGCCCCGTAGGTCCGAAACATCAAGCTCAATCCCCAGCATAGGGCACACAGGCGAGAAGGCCGGCATCTTGTCCCAAGCACAATCAACACCCATCAGCTCGACCAAGGCGCGGAGCGTAAGGTCAGTAGAACGGGCCAATGCCGACGGGGTCCAGACTGGATAGTCGTCAAAGTAGTTGACCCAAGGGACGAGAAGACACTCACCTACGTGGTGCAAGAAGCGGGCGAACCTGTTGAAGTCGACAACCGAAGCCGTCGCGCCAAAAGGCAAGGCTTGAGACTCATAGCACTCAACCCCACCACCCGGCCTGGGCAACACGCAAACAGCAAGCCGACGGCTGTTAGGATTCAACGGAAGCTGCTTATAGGCGTTGCGAAGATCCATAGCTGACAGCAACGGAGCACTAGCACCCTGGTCCTTCCAAGCGTGATGCACGGAGCCCTCGAGACACGTTCCGTCGCTCAAGGAAACCTTGACCTGATCAGTCACGTCACAGCAGACGGTCCACCACCTCAGCATGGCAGCCAAAGTGTCAATGGACCTCAAGTCAAGCTTGTCCACGTAGGCAAAGGCCGAGTTGACCTCAGCCTCTGCAAAGTCGTCTATGCGTCTCAACTTTGTTTTGTCGACCGAGCTCTGCCACACGCCAAACCGGCGTATGGGAATCCAGCCTTCGGGGAACCTTCCATCCATCACCTCAGGCGGGTGAGGGCCATCCAAGGAACCAGCCTCAACCTCTTTCATGGTGATCCTCCGAAGTTCATCGGCATCATCGTTGCGAGGAGCGCTGGACACCTTTTGCAGGAGAGAAGACTTAAGGAAGCCAGACCGGCGCATCAGTTGCTCGGGAGTCTGCTCCGCTGGCCTCATCTCCAAGGGAAAGATACCGGAGGCTGGACGGTGACCCACCAGTTCGAACCCTTGCTCGATTTGGTCAAACAAAGTCATGTCCGGCCACCTAACCTCCTCAGCAATCTTCCTCCATAGCAGCAAGCGCTTGCCCTTCAGGATCGCCCGGATCTTGGGGTCCAAGGACTTGTGCAGTTCCAGTTCACGAAGCTTAAGGTCATCAGCCATCTTGGTCCACCTCTTGAGAGTTTCAGCTCTAAAGCTAGCAACCCATGCCGGCCCTTTTGTTAGCATCTCGAAGAGGACTTTCTTAGACGAGTCCGACAGCGGGAGAACATCGAAGAAAGGGTGAGGAGCAGACACAGACTCCCGAAGGAACTTCTCCTTAGACCGGTAAACCCCGAAGGTGCACAGGAAACTTTTGTCAGCAGCATCCCCTTTTAGAGAATATGATAAAAGTTTCATCCCTGGCTGCAGGCCAAGTTCATTGGCCAAGACACGGCGCTTGAGGTCAACTGGCGGCAGCTGTGGACACTCGTGAGAAAAGACGGACTCAAACTCAGAGAGCACAGTAGGGCGGCGGTGGCCGCGAGCCTGGCGCCCAGCTGCCGCAGCGAACAGGTGTGATTGTGAAGGCGCCGTTGCAAGGTCAACAAGAGGGATGCCAAGTTCACGGGAAACAAGTTGCACAATCTGACGACACATCTCCCTGGGATACACGGCTTCTTCACTAGTTGCAAAATGCATGGCCCCAGGCGGGAGTCGTTTGCGCCCATAAGCAGCATGCTCATGGTTGCCTGGGCATGTTAACCCAAGGACCTGAAACTGTGGCAGACTCGTGAGAAACGAACGACTTCCAAGTGGGGCGGGAGCCGCCAAAAGCACACGTTTGCATGTCAACTTTGTGATGGCGGCTGATCAAGGCCTGGTAGGGATCAAGTTGCCAAAGAAGGCTGTTGGCAGGATTCTCAATGCTCCAGTGAATGTTGCAGGAATTCAAGAACTCGACAAAGTCATACAACGCTAAGTACAGAAAATTTGCTGCGCTGACGCGCTCAGCATCGGTGCCGACAAGGTCAGGTTTACCCCATGGCTCCCAATCAGTACGTAAAGAGGGTGGCCCGCCTGGTCGCTCGCGAGCGCGAGAACTTGTGCCGCAAGGAGGCGCAGCATGCACCCACCGCACGGGAAATTGTTGCACAACCAGCGAAGGTACTCCCATGATGTGTCAAGAGACAAGTCCAAGACACATATTTTAGCCAAGGGGTGAAAGCGATTGCGCTTATTATCTATTGCGATGATATCCCATCCAACCTCGCGGAGGCAGCTGGCCAGGATGGCGCTGCCTGCACAAATCTCTATGAACATAGGAACCTCTCGCCCAGGCAGCGAAGGGTTCGGCGTGGGAGAGGGCAAGGCAGCCTCTCCAACATCACGTGGCAACGGAAACCCTAGTGAGTCCAAGGTTGCTGCATCTTGGGTCGAAAACTCATTTGCAAGACAACACCCAATGAGAACAACACGACGGCCCGTCCAGGGCTCGGTCTGATGATAACTCGTGCTGGCCGGGACAAGGATGTGCCCTAAAGAGAAGTCAGCTACCCGACCTCGCACGGGACAACCATGCACCTCGCGCACCTCAGATTGTAAACTGTCTTCAATCCAGACGCCTCCGCCCTCAAATACAGAAAGCGGGATCACTATGTTTGGAGAAGAAGAATTCAAAAGATCTTTATGGGGTCCAGACTGAACCCCATCAAGCACAGCAATGGAGGTAAACGGAACAGAAGGCACGGTGCGCCTGAGCAATGCAGTCAAAACCCTGATGACAGTGGGGAAATCCTTGCAATGCTTGCGAAGGCCGAAAATGCCGCCTTTGCGATAACCACCGGCATAGAAGGCGCGCCCCTGGGAGCAGGCATCGACATGAGGCTTTTCCTAAGGAAGATTCTCACACATAGCTAAAATGTTGGACATGTCCGGGGATTCAGATTTAAGCAAGGTTTCTGCGCAAGCCTCGGGCGAGACCTGCGGATCACTTTGCAAGGAAAGCGAAGGCTCAGGGCATGCAGAAGCCTCAGCAGCGCAATCAAGGGTGCCAGACGTGGTCTCCTGGGGTGCCCGAACAGCGGGCACCGGGTTAACAGAATGTTGGAAAACTTTAGGAGGGCCAGCCTCCCCAGGATCAGTTGCATGAGATTGGCCACCATGTGGCACAGGCGTTTGTCACTCTTTCTGTTTCATGGCAGCGGCACGCTTTGGGCAATCGGAAAACTTGTGATGGCCAAAGCACTTTGGGAAGCAGCACAGGTGCAATCCCTTGCGGCACGCCTGATTGGTAGTCGGCAAGCTGCAACCTCCTATGTTGAAGTCAAAGCACAGCGGGTTCCCCCGACCCGTGCAGGGAACTCCGCCCTCCAGTGCAGCTGGCATGCGAACGCTGGAAGACCCCGTGCCTTTGCCTTTGCCCTTCTTGCCCTTACGACCATCGGTGCGATAGGGGGCGAACCTGAAGTCATTGCCCTTATGGTCACCTTTATGGTCGCCCTTACCCTGATATGATGGCGGTGACGGTAGGGGCTGGAGCAAGTGCAAGACATCCGGATGCTCAGTCGCACGTTCAAAGATTAAGTCAATGGGACGGCCTGTCGCCCTAATCTGAACCCCGTCACGAGTTAACTCAGCAATTTTAACCCACAACTTACGATCTGCCTAGATGATCTGGTTCTGCGTGATCCTGGCATACCCTGGGGGCGGATCAACAAGACGCGATTGCAACAGGCGCTCAGTCCAACTGTTCAACTTGACAAAGTCAACAAGATTGGCCTGATCATAAGCCAGGGCACGCCTGGTGAAGGCATTCCGGAGAAGGAGGTCTGAAGCAAGATCAGCCTCCAACTTAGCATCCTTCCCCTTTACCCTGACGTTGCCCATAGCATCAATCGTTATGTTGCGATCCTCCTTGGAGCTTTGTGACAGGACCTCTTGCTCCTTCGAAGGGCACTTATGAAGATCAACATGATACACCCTGTTTTCTTCATACTGCTGCACCACTAAGTCGATGAGACGGTCAGCGGGCTCCAGCGGGCCCTCGATCTTGAATCCTGTCAAACGCCGTTGTTGCGTATCAAGGCGATGCGCCCTTTCAGGCTGCGCAAGCTTTTTAGCAGGCATATCCTCAGTACGTTCCACGACCTGTTTAAGTTCTGCCGCACTCATGGAATAGGCTTCATGCAGCAGCCTGCGCAAACAAGAGAGCTCCCCAACGGATGCGTCCCTCTTCATGATTGCCTTAATGGCTGTAAGGAATTCTGTCTCGTTGGATTGTCCTGGCACATAAGACGAGCAGAATGCATACTTGGACAGAGTGTCCACCTTGGCATCCATGAACAACTCGATGACATCTTCATCGAGTCCCAAAGCAGCTGCACGCGCCTTAAAGGTTGGGATCGAGTCAGTGACACTCATGGCTACGACGCGAGCTACAAGGCAGAAGTGCAGCAGTCTGCTTCGGTGTGACATGTTTGCAAAGCCTAGCAGATTCAATTGAAACTCACATGAAGTCACATGTCTGAGTCATGCACAACATGCACTTGAGCTGAAGTGAGCAACGTGACAGATCTGCACCCGAAGGAGACAGATAACAACGCCCAATGGCGCATCAGGCTGCACCCGAAGGAGACAGCTAACATGTCACTCACTGCATCATGCAAACCCACGGCTTGCACAGATGTTCACACACTGAGCCTCAACCACTCAGCAATGGGACATTCCCTTGTTTCACTCCAGCAGCGATCAGCCACATCACGGGTAGCACCTCCTACACAGAGGGTACATGAACTTTGGCGCTTCAGCCAAAGTGCAATAATTGGCATTCAAAAGCTTGCCACACCTGGCCCGGTTCCCGGCCTCATCAGCAACAGCATGAATCGTGCGGGACACCTTGTGGCGAGCCACCGGGGCCCCATCGTCTCCTGCACCAGGAACCTCAGCCCAAGGCTGAACATAGGCCTCGACCGCATCGTCCAGGGCACCTTGGTCCTCACCGTCATCCTCTTCGTCGCAAGCGGACTCCGTGTCGCTTTCCTGAAGCT